TGTCTTTGCACTCTGTACTGTTTCAGCTGCTCTTCTAGGCGCCTGCGAGCCTCCAGACGAATCCTCTCCTCATTTTCCATTTCCAACGAAGGCTTCTGGTTGGCTAAAAAGGAAGGGCATTCATCCAAAAAGAAACATTAACAGCAGTCTGAAATAATATACTCATGAATCACTGCAATGGCAACACGTGAATAATTCAACACGTGATTAATGAGGCCAACTGTACTGTGAATCCCTTAATGTAATCGTTTAAAAAAATATATATACATATATATTATCTATCTATCTATCTATCTATCTATATCTATATATATCTATATATATAGATAGATATAGATATATACCCTGGAAAGTATGGCATGACACCTTTTAATCAACCCTTTGGACATAGAACAAAAATAATGTGCTTGACTCCATCTACCCAAAGACAAAACACAATCTAAGTAAAGAAGGTTAGTTTAGTGAACAACTTTACAGTGTAAAGAGGGTTCGGGTTACAAACAGACTTGGCACTGGGGGTGGGGGGCATTCACGCATAAATTTATGCTTACACAAATCTGTCTCCTGCATAGGCATACTGAGTCTGAGTGACTGCAATGCATCACCCGTGTGACCCGTGACCTCAGCAACAGCCTGCTCAGGTTCAAGCATCATGGGTGGATAAGCAGTCACACCTGGGGAAGCTACTTGATTTTGGGAGTTGACTGCGGAGCTGGTGCTCTGAGGAAGGGCTGTTGGAGACAGGGACCCATTAGCATGGGAGTTCCCCGCGGCAGGAATGCTCTCGGACATTTCGTCTCCATTTGGCATCACATCCGAGCTGATGGGACCTGGAATGAACATGTCCCAAGGAATGTGACAATGAGTCATAGTTGTATTGTGGACCAGAATGCAAAGTGTATGTGATTCTGTTGGCAAAGAGCATGAGCAACTATGACAACACTCAGCAGCAAAAGTTAATTCACCCACTGGTTAGAAAGTCTTGGAATGTCTTAAAGGGGAAGTCACCTCAAAAATTCTATTTTCAATAACATGTTCTATGTAGCACCACTAGTCTAAAAACTATTATGATTAAACTATTCTGATTAATATTGCATTTGTGGAGTATGAATTAAGCAGCAAAATACACCCATTTTCATCCATCTCAGAGGGCACTCAGTAACTGGTCATTCCCTGAGCCCTGAGCAATGGTGTTGTCATTTTCAGTCAATGACAAATGGCAAAATGGCCGGTCCCTGAAATAGGTAAAAAAAAACTGTTGGATTTGACTGCTTAAATGTATATTCCACGAACGCAATATTAATTAAAATAACGTGTCTAAACTAGTAGCACCATATTGTTAGCCGGGTTTACATAAAGACATGTATTCTGATTAGAATGTGTCAAGGAGTTGCTTCAATAAAAGTTTTTACACAACTACTGTGCTAAAAAGACAACATTTAATTCCTGCATGATAAATCAGGCGATGATGTTTTCATCAATCGCCATGTCTCACACGACTGATCTAATTAACTGAGCGGAGCTTGTAAACGACCGATTGGAAAAGATCAGGTCTCAGGTAAACAGGTGACAAAAAAAATAATTCAGGATGATTTCAATCATGGGCCGGCCCAGTGGTCAACTGGTTAGCACGTTGGCCTCATAGTGCAGCGGTGCATGGTTCATTCCGGCTCTGGCCTTCCTGTGTGGAGTTTTGCATGTTCTCCCCACACCTGCGTGGGTATTCTCCGGTTATTTTGGTTTACTCCCACATTCCAAAAACACACGTGGCAGGTTAATAGAACACTCTAAATTGTCCCTAGGAGTGAGTGTGACCGTGGATGGCTGTTCGTCTATGTATGCCCTGCGATTGGCTGGCAACCAGTTCAGGGTGTACCCCGCCTACTGCGCGAAGACAGCTGGGATAGGCTCCAGAACGCCCCACGACCCTTGTTAGGATAAGCGGATCAGAAAATGGATGAATGGATTTCAATCACATCGACGAAGTAAGTCTCCATGTAAACACGACTGTTGTACATTTTTTTTAACTTGACTTCTCTTTTAAGGCTCTGCTACACTGCTAATTTTATTCACATCTACCTCCTCAATGCTGCTAAAATATCATATGTATTTGGATACTAGTTTCAGATGATGAAAATGATGGTGATTGTAAGATAAGCCAAATTGTGTGTGTGTGTGTGTGTGTGTGTGTGTGTGCGCGCACATGTGGAAAGGGGCGGGGGGGCTGTCTAGAGAAGGCCATCATATTTAAATGTGTGTGTGATGCAAATGGGTGAAAGTGTGGGCGCAATTCTTCCTTTGTGACTCACTGTGCAATGTTTTCCGTCTATGTGCAATGCAATTGACTGCCTACCAATCCATGCTAAAGTCTGTCTTTGACTGGATGAATAATATGGCCTCTGGACAGACTCGAATGTAAAAGGAAACTTGACTGGTTGGTAGTCCCAAACATCCATGAGTTGGCTATTCCAGTTTTAAGGTATGCATGTTTTTTGTTCCCCTGTCATCATTGAGCTCAAAAAAACAACAGACATTTTAGTTTAGTAGTGAGCACATGGCGTAATGTATTAATATAAAGACCAAAGACAAAGCAACCAGGTCATTCCACCAAGAAAGCATCAGCACTCACCATTGTGGATCCCCTTGGTTGCATTTGGATTGCCATCAAGCCCTTGCTCCTTTAAATGTTCCTCATTTTCAGCCTCTTGGAATTTCAAAGTGCAGTGATCTTGACCAGCATTGATCTCCATTTGAGCGGTGTATTAATTTTTAATGTCCATTGTTTATTTATAGATGATCCTTCTGGGTCCTCATAGGGAAGCAACACAATAGCTGAAAGCAGGTGCTTTCCAAGATTCACGCAGTAACACAGAACTGAAAAGATAAATCACTGAGTGAGACAAATATATGGATAACACTTTGGCAAAAGCTCCATGTTACAGATAAAGCAATGCCTCTTAACGAGTGGGAATAATGCTAAGAAAAAAATGCTTGAGAGTGAAGAGCTAACAAGAAGATTTTTATTAGTTGACCAGACTGTGTTGTGTTAAATGTATTGGTTGACGTAAATGGCAACAACTTTTTACTCTTACGTAGAATGAAAACAGCGACACATTAAATTAAACACAGTGTATAACTGATTAAGTCCGAGTATGCTTCATTATTTATTCTTGGTTAATTGTCACCAACCAGCGAACAAGCAATTCAGCTGTCAGGAATTTGTGAAACAGTTGCCTCAATAACTAAGCATCAACACACCCAACTGCCAATTTGAGTTGGTGTAAATTTAAATCAAACGATGGGCGGATTAGGCATGTCGACGACAAACAATATCTTTTGAAGACATTGGAAGTTCTCCGTTCTAGTGGTATCGAACCTTTCCGAACTGCACGAATTAGCAAATTTATTGGTTTGTTTCACACAGTAAAGCTTAAGTTATCAACAGAAAACAACAACAAACTTACATGGAGGCGAACTGCATAGAATACACGGAAATTGCAAATGACAAAGACGCAGTTTGTAATTGGCAGCCATCAATAATAAACATTACGTTAGCTGGTGGTGATGGCCAAAAAGGTAGCTATATGTTTGCAGTGGGGGACCTGTCAAGCTAACGTCAAAGTTGCTAACTCGGTCGCTCGGAAAAGTCAGAGCCCGTGTTTAGATTACATCTTTAAATCATCACATAATTGTGACAATGAATACGTTTCGTCCATCATGATTTAAATGTATATGGGCTGACTAGAAAATGACACATTCAATAAGTGCATAAAAATCATAAGGAAAGCTCACCAAACCAGATTCGCCATTTACTACGTGGCTGTTTGCTTTCCGTCCGACTTTCCGTCCGACTGGAAACAGTCAACTCCGACTGGAAACAGTCAACTCAAATACATGCATCGGACACATCAGTGGCGTTTACTTCAAAATATTTTGCAAAAGATAAATAATTACAAATTAATAAGTTTCAATATCTAATATTTTAATTATCATGATGAGTCAATCTGTAAACGTGGCTTTTACGATATTGTTTTTCTGGCTCATGTTTAGGATGTCATTCAAAAGCCAAAATTATATTCAAAGTAACACTATATGTATGTCTATGATATCAGGTGCATGGCAAACTCATCTTTAATAATGTTGCTCATAAATACGTAAATCAATCACCATGTAAACAGTGAGTAGGCTTGTAATCCAGTGCACTGAACACAATTAAAGAAGGGGGATCTGGGTCGAAAATGAAACGCAATATCATTGGCTAAAACATATACAGTACAAATAAACAAATACAAACAATCCACAATTTAAAAACAAATCCAGCAAGTGGTGACTATTGGTGCACATATGCCAATTATGTTTAAACTGGAAACAGCCCCAGTGCGCGTTGTTTGGTGGATAAAAATAAATTACATTGAACGTTCAGGCGCACCATAGAGCAATTTTGATGGTACTATATTTTCTGACGTTTGAAAGATTTGTAAAAGGCCGGCATGTGCGGTGGCGCCATCTAGTGGGATTTCCTAAAAAAAATGGAATACAGAGTAGACAGTATAGTTTCGGAGATGTAATTATTTTGCCACGATATAGACAGTTTTTACATACTGTGTGGCTGACCACACCCCTGTGGAACACGGGTTTGCTTTTATTTCATAAGCGCACAAGTAGGCAAATTTTATAGGCTTACTTACAGTGCCACCAAAATAAATGTAACCATTTTTTGTGAACGTTTTTTTTTTAAATTGTGAGTGCGTACATTTGTCATATATTCACATGTAACTACTGTATGTTATTCATTGTAAAATAAAACTAAATAACATACTACCTATATAGAGCCCAGAAGTCAATTAGTTTCAGGTGCTGAAAACTGTAATGCATGATGGTCTCATAAAGAATGTTGCAAGAACACTACATCTAGAATAACACACACTGTGTTGAGAGGAATATAATTAAACGTGTTTGAGCGTATTTCAAATTGTATTGTTAGAATGGATGTGGTCAAGCCATAATTTAGTAGTAGCGGGGTCTGGTGTTGTGTTGGCGTCATGAACGATGGAAGCGCGCTCCCGACACTTCAGGTGAATGAGAGGGAAGAGAAGCGGGACACGGTTCACTGTAGTCGCATTAAGTAGGGACAATTGGCGAAAAATGACTAGCATTTCGTTGCTTGGGGCGCATGTTTTCATGACTGTTTATCTGCTCTTCCTGATGGGATGCGTTGCACAGAAAGTAAGTATGGTTGCTGCATAACGTAATGTCAAGTTTGATCTCGTTGCCCAAGTTGAGTATCGTGCTCAGTGGCACCGGGAAGGCATTAACCTCGGTCGTAAATCTTTATATTTATTTGCGCCTTGGCAGAATAACTAGTCGCAATCCACACAAAACAAATAGTATTAAAGGAAGCCCAGCGACATTAAAAATCTGCATACATACACTACACAAATCAGATCACTTGTCTCATTTAATTTGCAGTGCAGTTGTGTTTATCCGTTCTTGTAAAACATTGTATATCCAAAAATATGTACTGTATATACTTGCTTAGCCGCAGGACGTTCACTCATAAAGTAATATTCGTGTCGTCTGGAGTGCTTTTAACACTATTTTGAGGATCAGTGTGCGGGTGGTCATGAAGTTCACGTTAAATTGAGAAACTACAGAGGAAAACGCGTTTCTCATGAATTTGTTGGTTTATATGGTGCATTTGAATGAACTTAAATGTTTGGTCTTCAAAAGGTGCGAGCCCAGCATTTTATGAGTGCGCTTTAATTCCTTTCAAATTAGTGTCCAGCTTGGTTCGGAAGGAATTCGAATTCCATCGCACCATGCTGACTAGATCTTGCAAACTTTATAAATGCGTGTTTCTTATCAGCTCAGTAGCATGTGATTCTTGTTTTGTTTTGCTGTTCTATATTTGAGCAGGAGAATCCAAAATTCAGATTGCTGAAACGAAACCTGCAATATGAACAGTTTAATATTTCGGACACCTTCGATTGAGACAAAAAACAAAACAAAACAAAAACAACAAAGTTTAGTGTTTGAAAAAGATTTCTCGCCGATCAACAAGTGTGTAAACAGCCAGGGGTTGTCTCCGTGTCACATTTGTCGCTCAATCACTTGTCATTTAAGATGATAGTGTTTGTTGGTTTGTAATGGAATGTTTAACAGTTAAACATTCCATTACAAACCCCACAACTATAGAGTTAATAACTTAGTTAAAAAGAAAGTGCAACTTGATAGTTGCTTGAGTCCTAATTATATTTCCCCCCCCCTCTCAATTGCTCATTTTATTAATGCTCCTCCTTAATTGAGTTTTAAATATTGATTAGCTTCAGTATGCTCATAACCAGACTGTTCAAAGTTATGTATGGTTAATTTCCTTTTTTTCTGTTTAGATGACAATTTATATTGTGTGCTGATTCCGAGTTTGCGGAACTGTGTGAATGACTACTCAAATTCAAAACTGTTCATTTTATCGTTTTTAGACAAAGAACTGAATTGATTTTGATGAGGATCTGGCTAAATTCGCTCAACTTGGAATTGTATTCACTCTTGTTTACTCTGTGAGATTACATTTTCAACCTACTCTTGATTTGCGTACTAAATACTTGAGTACATGAGTCTTAATGATGAGATGTAAACATATGGGGGCAGTGTGATTGAAAAATGTTGCACAGTTTGCTTCAAAATTAGATCCTAATGAATTCTAGAGTATTTTGTTTTATGTGTTCGAGATTTTAATGTTTCCATGTTTCCTGGTGTCAACATGCCAAAAGATAAGCCTTGGCAGGGATCCTCAGTGGACTTCCATCTGTCAAGAGTCGTCCTTTCCGCTGCTGGACAATGGCGGCTCAGCAGCAGTTTTAGTTCCTGTATGCATAGGGTGCTCAGTATCTTTGCAATTATCTGCCTGAGGGGACATGCTAAATGATGGCTTTGTCCTCTGCTCCCCCTTTGTATTAAGTTGATTTTTGGAACAGCATAAACAAGCTCTGGATTTATTATATCCCCATCAGAAAGAAACAGTAGCCATTGTCATTTCATTTTATTTCAGGTATATGGACAGAGCGTGAATTCTGTTTTGCTGCTTGCATTGGCTTTCAAAATGCTTGATTAGCTATTGAGAAGGTTATTCATCTGTGATTTAACTGAAATGTCAGACCCCAATGAACTTTGTTCTTGAATTAACTGACAGCAGTCTCTCACAGATGAACATGAATGGCACGCTAAGATATCATCTCTCTTAAAAAAAAAAAGATGGTTTGTAACATTATTTTCTCATTGCATGATGAAGTGGTACTGCAAAAGCTATAGGACACTGAGTTGATAGCTTGTGTCATGAAGACAATAGTTGGAATTTAGTGCCAGAGTCTCTCTCTCTCTCTTACTCTCTCTCTCTCTCGCTCTCTTTCTCTCTCTCTCTCTCTCTCTCTCTCTCTCTCTCTCTCTCTCTCTTTCTCTCTTGCTCTTTTTTTAACCAGCCAGGTCATTGTGAGTGCATCATATAAATCTGTTTTGTGAATACAAGTTCAATGTTATATAGTGTTCCTATTGTCAGCGAATTTATTGACAAGGCCAAAGCCAAGCTTGAGTGGATGCTACTAACAAGTGTATCCAGAGTCTGATGGATTCCTCTTTGCCACAGAGCTTCATTGTTCCAAAACTATCAAAGACACATCAATGAGCCAAAGCGTTGTACTGGGTGACATGTTTCTTCATTACCATGAACACACATTCCCCAGTTTGCTCTCACCAAACCTCACATGCAAATATTCATTGGAGCATGAACTATCTTTTAATCAACGACTGAAATGTACCCCCAACGTTTGACATGATTCAAGCCCCACTTGACAATTACGAGCTAGACGTGTTTGATTCCTCCCTCCTAGATTAGCACCGAATGCAACCCTGGACATCTATAAGAGAGCAAGAAACTGATATGTGGGAGGCTTGGGGGATATTTGTAAACTTGCTCAACTACTGTATAAATGAAAGTTTGCAAGCTCCCCACCTGTCCTGTTGATGTTGGCAGTGTGTGTAGACCGATGCAGATTATAATGATTTTGCCATGATATAATTTTAATAATTAAATTATAATCTAAATCCTGCATCTGCACCAAAGTGGTTCCTTCATAAAGTTTTGTGGAAACCAATGAAGTGTTTTACGATTTCAGGATTTATACTATTAAGAAACAAAGGCAGGTCAAAACATATGTATCAATCTATCGATCTATCTACCCATCTATGTCGCTACAATGCAACAATACTTATTGATACTTAAGGCCTAATGATTAGATGTAAACCAATATATCGCTTTTTTGGAACGATACGATTTAATAGAGTAATAGGTGATTTAGATATAATATTTAGATGCGACAACCAAGGTTTTAATGTAAACCAACCAATACTAATCAAAGGTAACTCCAAATAAACACAATAGAACACTGTTTCATTGGATTTTATTTTAAAACTCAGCTTTCCTGATTCCAAAATGTCAAAAGACAACACTGATATTAGAACAAGTTTTTTTTTCCCCTCTAAATATTCTATTACAAACAATGTGAAACCAAACAAGACGAGAGCGAGAGCGAGAGATCGTTTCCACTGGAGCGGTATCTTCTTCTTCAAATTTGGGGGTTCTAATCTGCACCCAGTATTGTATAGTAATTCGCTGACTAGCTTAGCGATTAGCGCTTCGCGCCGTTGTTTGCGCATGAGCGGTAATTCAGTTGTCATCTGGCTTGTTGCCCTGTATGTCAATCAAGTTGACGATAGGCTGGCATAGTAAATTCTGTGTATTTAGCACCGTTGTTTGAATGGCAGCGCCATCGCCGAGGCGATTTCGATGCTTGTCATGTGAAAGCCCGGGAGCCGCATTGAACCAGCCAAAGAGCCGCATGCAGCTCGTGAGCCGCGGGTTGGCCACCGCTGATCTAGATATAAAGATATCTAGATAGATAGCTACAGTATAGATATCTAGATAGATATAGATATGTACATATAATACTTGAGGATTTATTCTTAAGAGTTGTATAGAGATCTACACAATGATTTGTGAGACCCATAGATCATTGTTTTGGGATGTTATTGGTTTTATGGCTTTTGGAACTGATACCAGTTTTGTTCGAGCACCCCAGACTGGTCACCGGGCCTGCTTTTAGCCAAGAAATGCAAATTTGCATCGTTTCACACAGTGTCCCCTTTACAAATGTTCTTTTTTTCAAAAAAGTATGTTATTATTCCTGTTATTTTTTTGTGTAAAATTGAGTAAAATGTGGATGCCCTGAGCTACAGTAGAAATGCTGTCTTTTTATATTTTAACGTGCTCTTTCATATGGAGGACACAATAGGCAGAATAATGACGTGTATGATGCTGTTGAAGCAATGTCCTAATGGCAGTGTACGAAAACAATATGGCCCTGTTAATAGGTTTGTGTCCCAAACATGGATGGGAGAGCCTGCTCGTTCACTCACTCACTCACTCACTCACTCACTCACTCACTCACTCACTCACTCACTCACTCACTCACTCACTCACTCACTCACCTTTTACCCAAAGGATAGGAGTAACATCCAGTTACGGACAAAATGGACCTGTACATATGATGTTGATCAAATTTGACTGCAATGAAAGACGCCTGTCATAATGCCCACAGTGATGAAAATGTGCTGAGTCGGCACCCAAGTGGACAATGAGGGCGACCCTGGAAATGCCAGGGCTTAATTTGGTTATTTGTATACTCTGAGCTCGACGCGCATCCACTGACAGGAGCCCACCAGGAGAGGCATTGACATCACAGATGAGTGTGTGCGTGTGTGCGTGTGTGCGTGTGTGCGTGTGCGTGTGTGTGTGTGTGTGTGTGTGTGTGTGTGTGTGTGTGTGTGTGTTTAAAAAAAGCAAGTTCGCGCTTACCCCAGAATTGATTGTAAGACTCCGGTCTCTTTTCTGTCAGCTCTGATATCAGCAGAGATGCACACAGAATGGGGCTTTTGTACCCTCACTCCTCAAATTCACTGGAGCCATCTAATTTTTTTCTGAGAGACAGATTTAGGATGAGGTAATAAGTTCAATATATACATGGCCAAATATTCATCTTGTAAGTCTGGATTGCAGAAAAAGGGTTTTTGTCAAGCACAGTTAAAAACAGCTTTTGACTAGTTTCAGTTACTGGTAATTAAAAAATAACAATGAAAAAAAACTAACGTTTGATATTGGATAAGGGTCCAAATAA